TGCTGAACCAGGGCTACCTCCGGCGCCAGGAGGGGAGGCCTCATGTCTTGGAATACATCTCCGCTGAGCCCACAACACCTGTTGGGGGCCAGGCACAGATGGTTTTCCAGAGCAGGCCACCAGAGGTGTCTCTGGAAGAGGACAGCATAGACTGCCTGTCTTGGTAGGAATGCATATCACCAGGTGTGGAGGGGTGTGCATCTCCACCCTGTATGGACATGACACATTTCTCCATATCAGGTTGAATCCTGGCACAGGCAGGTCGGAGGATTTTCTCATGGCAATGCTGCAGATGCCAATGGGGCACACACTTAGTCCAGAGGAGGCGAAGCTGCTCATGAACCAGACAGTACAGCAGGTCCAGGATACTCTGAGCATCCCGGATGATGTTGCTCGACACCTCCTCATGCACTGCAGGTGGAATGTGGATTTCCTGATCCAGTGCTATGTGGAGAACCGTGAGACCCTGCTCATCTCCTCAGGGCTGCAAGTGCAGGATGCCCAGCCCCCCCCGAGTCCAGGAACCCACTGCCCAGTCTGTGTGAACCAGCTGTGTCCTACTGAGAAGCCACCAACCCTCTGCTGCATGCACTACTGCTGCAAGGTGAAGGTCCTGTGGTCTGACTCCTGTAACTTGGTAGGGAATTGCTGCTGCCTAGTTGGTGGCAGTTGGTTGGCTTTGTCTGAAGCTGTTATCAGGTGATTTTCATAGAGGTCATACATTCTCTTTTCTCAGCTCCCTTGTTTGTTGTGATCCTTCAGCTCCTGATTAGCCTGTTCCCATTTTGTGCATTTTGAGTACTTATCCACGGCTTGTGGTGGTTTTCGTGCACCTTCTGCTGGGTGGGGTGCACTTCCAGGGTCCCATTACCCAGGTGGTGCAGCTCCTGCTTAGCTCTGATCTCTCCTCCTCTGCCTTCACAGCCCTGTTGGAGTGAGTATCTCACAACTCGCATTGAACAGAACATGGTTGTCAACTGCACCTGTCCCATATCTGAGTGCCGTGCGCAGCCAACTACAGCCTTCATTTGTTCCATCGTTTCCTCCGAGGAGATTATAGCCAAGGTGAAGTAGGAGAGGTGGTTACTGGGTGTCCAAGCTCTGTTTCATTTTGGCCAGCACTAGCAGATAATCTTGCTGCTGCTTTTCCCCTTCTCATTACTAAGACTGTCAGTGTGATAATTGAGGCAGACCAGGTTTCTGCCCAGTGGTGTCTGTTGTCTCTGATCATGGTCAATACCAGCTATTCAGGAAAGCATAATATCAGCAAAAGAGCACAGTGGTATTTCCTCTAAACATGTCTCCAGCAAACAACATTTCAGGTGCATGTTGCATTGAGGACCAGGTGAGTGCTGTGGTAGCATCTCATGACAAGTATCCTCTCTCTGCTGGTGTGCTGGAAGCAATTGTAAAATCTAGGACAAATGAAGAGAAAACGCTTGAGCAATTTCATTTTATTGCTGCATCAATGACCCCAACGTCCTTTCTCTTCCATCAGTCTCTGGCTTTGAGCATCTCAGGTTTTTGTGAAGATGACAGAAGTTACCACATCAGACTTAATCTTCACTCTAAGTCTGTGTGGGTCTACAGACATCTCTAAAGCAGGCTGCCTGAGCTCTGCTCACCTTAGTCCCCAGTCAGCAGGGGGCAGCAGGAGCTGCTTGTTCTGAGGCAGAAGCTCCTTTCTCTCCCTGCTCTTTCAGTTTTTAGTTATTACTTAGAGCTGAATGCCCTCCCCACCTAATGGCAGAGTTGTGGCTGTCGCATGACAGACTCTTTTTGTTAATTGCTGGACAGAGCAGGTGTCTCATCTGTTTTCCACCGCTCTGTGGTCTCCACCAGCTACTGCTTCTCCAAAAATATTCTCTTCCTCTTCCAGCTTGTTACTGTCATTATGATCCTGTGTGAACAGTCATAAGGAGAAATGAACAGTAGTCATAAGGACTGTTCTGTCTTATAATTTTTCTTTACGCTTGCAAACTGGCAACCAAAATGGGCAAGGCTACAGAAAAACATTTCCTTCAATGTATCTTTTGTATCTTGTTTTCTATAAGAAGTGCTTGGAGAATTAGTGCATGTATCTGGGCAGTTAGTTCTTACTGGCTTTGCAAATCCTGTAGTCACACCTGTCTGAGAGCAGGATTTAATATCCTGTTGCTGTGGCTATTTTATAAAAAAAATATTATTGCAGGTCAACATAAATTGCAGCCAAGTTTAACAAGTTGCTCTTATGTTCTCACTGAAATGTTACCTGTTTCCCTTTTTGCTCAGCAAGTGGTATGGCTGGAGCATTAATGCCTCATGCAGAGTCACACATACAGTCATAGAATAATTTAGGTTGCAGTAATCTGTGGAGATCCAACCCTGTGTTCAAAATCGCCAGATTATTGTGTGAGACCTGATGCTGAAGTTAAAACACACTGCTCCAGGTTCGGTCTTCTCTGCATCTTACATTTAGGTAGCTCTAGGCAGTGGTAAGATCTCCCTCCTCTGCTTTCTCCATATGCTGAACAAACCCAGCTCTCTCAGCCTCCCCTCATACATTGTGTGCTCCAGCCTCTGACTGTCTTGGTGGCCTATGGATGACTTTCTCTAGTTTGTTAATGTCTGTCTTGTATTTGGGAGCCCAGACTGTTCCCAGTATCCAGTTGTCACCAGTGCCAAATAGCTGTGAGAAATCCCTTGCCTTGCCTGCTGGCTGCAGGCTCCCTTGCCTAATACAAGAGTATTTGAGTTTAAACTTTTCATGCTTGTATTTCTACGAAACATAAACCCTGTCACGTTTCTGAAAGAGGTCTTCTCTAACCTTGTTTCCCTCAAGTTCCTGGAGAGTCTGTTTTTCAGAGGTGGTCTTCGATTCTGCCCCCAGGGATTCTTTGCTGGGAATCATGCCATAGGCTCCATACCTGGATTAACTCCGGTGTATGCGAAGGTTCCCTGAAGATCTCTTGGTCAGTGTCATGTGGTACTTGGCAACTTCTTGATTGTACCTGGCTAGTTTTCTTCCCAGACTTTCATTGGACACTTGTTCCCTCTCCTTTTAGGCTTCCTGAGAGCAGCTCTTTCTTTTATGGTTCCAGTAGGAATCCTAGATCCGCTTCAGCAGTTGCATCTCTGTCTCCTCCTCACCAAGAAAACAGGATAGAGCAAAACTCCAGACATCACATGTTGTGAAATTCAGCCTCTGTGAAGGCTGTGATTTGGTGCTGTCTGTTGACTCAAGTACCCATTTATCTCTTCGGGTACTGGTGTCTGGGCAGAAATGATCACATCGCTTATCAACAGGATGACAACAGACACAGATGTTGACTCTCTTTGAGAAGAATGAAGTGGTTTTGTTGAGACTTTGCCTCCATGAAGCATTTTGCTGTGACACAGGCTGACATCCTTGCAGCCAGTCAGCACACACTCTGGTTTAGGTTGTCTGAGAGAGAGAAATGAATGAGAGCCCTGTCTGAGCCCTTCAGTGCTCAGGGCTTGCGCCTTCTCTCTCTAGTGCTTGTTGTGACCTGTATTGTCCTTTCTGTGCCTGGTGGCTTTAGAGCAGCTCTCCAGGTATGCAAAAATCTCTGCAGGCTGTGAAGACTACGGAATTTCTGAACTTCCTCTAGCTTTGCGTGTGTTTGCATAGTCCTTACGCTATAGTAACTGAGCATAAAAAGCTAAGCTACTATTTGCAGTATAGTTGCATCCCTGGGTCCCTACCTGAACAGTCCCTTATTGATAACCAGTTTGCATTGTCCTCTGCAGTAATGTCTAGGGGCTGCGGGCAAAGCAAGTCTCTTTCCCCTTTGCACATCATGTAACTAAGCACAAGTTTGCTGAGGAACTTTAAAATCAGAAAAAGTTAAAAAGAGCACCTGATAGCTTTCTATGGCGAGATGATTGGCTTGATGGATGAGGGGAGGTGTTGTTTATCTCAGCTTTAGTAAGGCTTTCTACACCATCATCCACAACATCCTTGTAGAAAAAAACTGATGAAGTACAAGCTGGATGAGTGGACAGTGAGGTGGCCTGCTGAGCTCAAAGGAAAACAGCCCTGCAGAAAAAGAAAAGAGATCATGGTGGACAACAAGTTGAACATAAGCCAGCAGTGTGCCCTTGTGGCTAAGAAGGTCCGCTAGCATCTTAGGTGGAATTAGCAAGAGCATTGACAGCAGGCTGAGGAAGGTGATCCTTCCCCTCTACCCAGTGCTGGTGAGACCACATCTGGAGTACTATGTCCATTTCTGGGCTCACGAGTACAAGAAAGACATGGACATACAGGGGAGAATCCAGCGAAAGGCCACAAAGATGATTTAGGTTTTGGAACACCTCTAGGAGAAGCTGAGAGAGCTGGCTTTGTTTAGCCTGGAGAAGAGAAGGCTCAGGAGTGGATCTTATCAACGTTTGTAAATACACAAATGGGATTAAGGAGCCAGATTCTTGGTGATATCCAGTGAAGGGATGAGAGGCAGTGGGCACGAATTTAAATACAAGGAATTCCATTTAAACATAAGAATTTCTTTTTTTAACAGTAAGGGTAATGGGACATTGGAACAGTTTGGGCAGAGAAGCTTGTAGTCTCTATCCTTGGGTATGCTCAAAACCCAACTGGACATGGTCCTGAGCAGCCCTGCTTTGAGCTGGAGCGGTTGGACTAGTTTTTATCTCCAGAAGTGCCTTCCAACCTCAGCTGTTCTGTGATTATATGAAACAGCCGCCAGATCTGATACAAGGGGTGGGGAATTTACACAAAGGGTATGAAAGAGTAAACTAACTTAGTGCTGTTTTATTATGAGCAGTTGTTCAGTCAGATGTAGAGCCCAGAGGCACCAGACCCCGTTGTAAGGCCTGACCGTGCAGCTTCTCTGCCTTACATCTCCTTCCTGTCGTCTTATTACAGTATGAAAAGGCCCTCCTCAGAGGCTATGTCGAGTGTTGCTCCAACCTGACATGGTGCACCAACCCTCAGGGCTGTGATCAGATCCTCCTTAAGGATGGACTTGGTTACGGGGCAGCCTGTTCCAAGTGCTCCTGGATATCCTGCTTCAACTGCAACTTCCCAGAGGTAAGGCTGAGCTGAATCATGGGCAATACTGTCTTGGGTTTGGCACACACCGTTGTGCTTTTGTGTGGTTGACTGGCTCTCTCTTTCAGGCCCATTATCCTGCCAGCTGCAGCCACATGTCTCAGTGGGTGGATGATGATGGGTACTATGAGGGAATGACAAGTGAAGCCCAAAGCAAACATCTGGCTAAGCTCATCTCGAAGCACTGCCCAAGCTGCCAGGCTCAGATAGAGAAAAATGAGGGGTGCCTGCAGTGAGTATCTATTTTTTTTTGCTACTGGAGACAGGAGAGGGCAAAGACATACAGTTAGGTCCATTGTGTCTTTTTTTTTTTTTTTTTTTGGCTGTGGAGTAAGAGTTAAAAGGTCTGTTTTATAGTTTTAGAGGAATGAGTGACTGCTTTTAATTCCTAGGAAAAACAAAATGTTCCCCAGCATTCAGAGTTAAATCCATTGATAGCATCCAACTCATTTTGCAGTACCTTTTTATAGCGCACACTTGTCTGCTCTCAGAATCTGCTTTAGACATGTAGAGGTGCAGGTTAGGGGAGTGGATATCTCAGCAACACTTTTTTTCTTTCACGCTCACCTATTCCTGTTACTTAAGTAATTTTCTTTTAACTGCCTCTTTTGAATTGGCTTGGATCTTTGGCAGCTTTTTACCTGATAGGGGAGTTACCTCCAGCTTTGAAGCCAGGGCTTAGGAGTCGCCACTTGTTTCTTTCTTGTACTGGCACAGTGCCCAGCTGGGATTTGTCCCCACGTGTTGTGTGTGGCCCTAGGGCTGTGCAGTGCCTTTCTGCACTGTGGAGTACTGCGTTACTGAGGGAAGAGGTGAGGTGTGCTCATGTGGATCTTGCTTCAAACTGTGGAATGCTTAGTTCACCCTTCAAGGACTTGATAAGTTGGTACTGTGAGCTCGTGCTGCCAATTTACCCAGCTCATTTTTGGAGACACGGTGACTGGTTTTAAGCATCATCTGCTTCCAGCAAAGGCTTTAAAAAATACATGCAGGGAAGTGCGTAGTATTGAGTGAATGGGAGTGACTGGGTCGCACACTCCAGCCCTGTGATGCAGGGGAGCGCCTGGGAGGAACTGTCTTCAAGTGGCTGTTAGCACTGAGTGATTCCCATTGTTCTTCTCCTACCATGCAGTATGACATGTGCAAAGTGTAATCATGGCTTCTGTTGGCGTTGCCTCAAGCCCTGGAGGCCGACTCATAAGGATTACTACAACTGCTCTGCTATGGTGAGTGGTTTGCTATATCCCAGTGGCTCATGCTTGTGTTCAGATGCATCTGGCCTCTCAGAGAGAGGGCAAGGATCTCCACTTGTGCCCTTTACTCTGGACTTTGTGCACTCGCCAGTAATATTGATAGTATTGTCAAAGTCTGTATGTGTGGTAGCCATTTCCAGGCAATCCTGGTACTTGAGGGAAATTGCTACAGGTTACTTCTGCCTTTCCTTTCAGGTGAGTAAAGCAGCTTGGCAGGAGAAGCGTTTTCAGGATTACAATGAGAGATGCACCTTTCATCATCATGCAAGGGTAAGGCCGCCTCCTTCCTTTGCAGATGCTGGCTCTGTTGCCTTAGCCTTGGTGAGCAGGACAGTTTCTGTTGTGTCTCAGTGTATTTCCCCTGAAGCTGAGAAGCAGGCTTCGGATCCAGGTGGAGATGCCTGATCATTTCACCTCTGATGTAATGGGTAGTTCTTGGCCTGCTTTCTTCTACCAAGTCTGTTGTGGAAACTGAACACCTAACTTGTGTTCACGTGCTCAAACTGATGCAGTACTCGGAAGCAATGGCAACTGAAGGCTGAACTCTGTCATGAGCTGAGATACTGTAAAAAGTTGAAGTGATGGCACAGTAGAGATGTCATAGTTGGATGCAGTAAATGCTCTCTTGCTACCTGCATCTTCTGGGATGGCACTTCAGGATGTTTAACAATTACCTGTGTGGAAGGTGCTATTTTTTCGATCTTGTGGAGTTTGACATTGACTTTTTTTTTCCCCCTCCTGTGGTTATTGCAGGAATTTGCCGTGAGTCTGAGGAACAGGGTTTCTTCCATCAGTGAGATGCCAAAAATTAGGACTTTGACCTTTGTTCTTGATGCCTGCAAAGTGCTAGAACAGGCACGGAAGGTAAGGCTGGATAACAGGCTGGCTGAGGTTTAGGCCTAATTCTGTTGGTGTGGTTTATGCGCTCCTTAAAGTGAGGAGACGCCAACCTTGCTCTACTCCAAAGAAGGGGAGACAGAAAAAGCTTGAGGGGAGAAACAGCATCAGGACAGGGGAGGAGCTCATGTCTGCCTTTCCCTGCTCTCACTCTGAGTTGGGCTCTGTGTGCAGTGTTCCTCACAGTCAGGTCACAGGATTTGGAGCTTAGCTCAAGTTGGCACCGTGGAATCAGCACAAGGATCTATATTTAGGGTTTGCATATACTGGGTTTGGTCCATTCCCATTTGAAATGCCCCAGTGGTGGTACTTACCTTTTGAAAGTTCTCCTGATGCTGTGTTACAGTTAGGAAGTCCCTCTTGATGCTCGTGTTATGATTTTCCTTTCTTAACTTCATTTTGTGAGCCATGGGTGTTTTGGGAGCACTGAGTTACCTACTGCATGCCCTGATAGCCACATTATGAAGGGTTTGCAGTGCAGCCACTGGATGTGTGCAGTAAGCCTGTGACAGCATAGGCCTGCAACGTCTTCTGTCTCCTGAAACATAGAAAGGCAGTGGGAATTGCCTTTGCAATATATACCTTGTTTGTGCAGGCAGACTTGATTTTTAGAGAGGCAAAAGGTGGAACAAGGGTGTCTGACCCAGTTTTGTCTTTTCAGTATGGTAGCCCCCATGTTTGCCAGGATTCATATCACTGTTACTTGCCGCTGCTGGCTTTTCTGGCCCACTTCTTTAAATGGAAACAGTGGTCTTGTTTCTTCCTGGGTGCCTGGATGGCTTTAGGGGTCATTCTTTCATAACAGGAGTTTGTCACTTGTTGAAATGCCTTTGTCTCGGTGCTGTATAGCACCATGCCTGCTTCCCTTTGGGCTCAGCTCTCTCAGTTCATTGCCACTTGAGTTCAGCCTGGGCTGCCCAGCAATATGTAGATTCTCTTTTGACTCTCTGCCTGCTGGTCAGTCACACTTGTTAGGCATTTACAGTCTGTGTTCTTGTGGTGTTTTGCAGGTGGGAACAATCAGCTATTTCAGATTTCAGTACAAAATAATTACACATTCATTTCCAGTCCTGCGAGTAGCTCTAGGTAGCGTGCTGTCACTTGGCATAATGGTTCACTGGGCTATTGCCACAGACCAGAAGCACTGCCAGGCTTCTCTCAGCCATTGATACGTAATGAAGTCTGGAAGGGTTTGATGTTACTTTCTTCTTGCCCACTCTGAAGCCGAAGGAGGATGCTTACAGCATGATCTGTACTGCTCCAGGTGCTGGCCTACTCCTGTGTGTACAGCTACTATAACCAGGACACTGAGAGCATGGATATTGTGGAACAGCAGACTGAGAGCCTAGAGCTGCACACTAATGCTCTGCAGATCCTTCTGGGTAAGTCCCACAGCCTCTCCAAAGAAGAGACTAGCATTCCCAGCTGTCTGGTTCAAAGGGTGGCAGCTCTGTAGTGGGGCAATAACATACACACCAGCACCCAGCTGGACTCTTTCACTTCTCCCAGCCTATTTTTGCCGCCTTGATGTAATTTCTGGGAAGTCCACTGAAGCAGTTTGGCTGCCAGTGGAGACCGATGCAGTAAGGAGCAACACGTTCCCTTCTGAAAGAGAAATTTATGTGCACAGAAGACCTAAGTAGCTGTGACTGGCTTCATAATCAGAGCCAAGAGACTCAGTCTCTGCTTAAGAGTGTGGGAAGCAGTGTGACTTTGTTGATCTTGAATTGCAGAGGAAACCCTGCTGCAGTACCAGGACCTGGCCTCTTCTCTTCAGCTTCTGAAAGCAGAGCATTTCAGTGCTGGTTTGGAGTTGGTACACCAGATCAAGGAGCGTCTCTTTGCAATTCTCTGGCACTCCACACAGGTGAAGTCCCCATGCCCATTAGTGGCTTGTCTTGCTCTGGGCTAGTTTGATCTTGGGCAGACCTAGAAAGGGGCTTGATCAGCTGAGGGGATAGATTCTCAGTGCCGTGTGTATGTAGGGAGGGGGTTTGCAGCACAAAATACACCCCAAATCACATATCTTCTCTCTTTTCTGGCTGTTCTTCCATGCTAGCAGGATTTCCACGTTGGGCTCCAGACTTTGGCAGATCATGGTCAGAGAAAGGTGAAACACTCAAATGTGCCTGCTTCAGCCCCTGCCTGTATAGGGTGAGTTTTCTTAGTGGGGTAACAAGGAAAGGTGGGCGGGTGCAGACAAAAAGCAGTTGACCAGAGTTTTCTCCTGTGCACGCTGACATACGAAAGAGTTAATAACAGATCCTGATTACTTGCATCCTGTGTTATGGTTTGAGATAACAATGTAAGTGACATAGGGGTGTAGGGAGACCAGCAAAACCTCCGCTGGATATGCAGCTATGGTTGAGAAAGCTCCATCACTGGCAGACCCAGTTATGGAAGTTGCTCTCCCTGGACTCTTGGGTTTCTGTGGAGAGTCACACTCTGTCTTCAAAGGTGTATCAGAGATCTAGGAGGTGTCTAGATGAGAGAAGCAAGAATAAGAACATACATGGGGGAGATGGAAGGGCCTCACATTTATTTTAAGAAAGGAATGGAGAAGAAGTGACACAGCTGTAAAATAGTGTGTTGAGAGATGAAATGGATGTTTTGTTGTTTCCCTGTCCTAGAGTACTGAGCTGGCAGGTGTTAAGTATGATAGGAAGGTGATGAGTTTGAAACAAAGTCCATTCCTGTATGACATGCTGTTTAAACCAAGAAACATAATTAGCATCTGCTATCCCAGTGTGACCAATCCCCTCTGACAGCTGCTGTGTTTCCAGGAGCTGAACAGGGTCCTGAGTGTTGCAAGAAAAAATGACAACTGAGTCAAGAGTCACTCTGTTTCAGAGCAGTTTCTGGCCTCCTTAGAATGAGGCTATGACACCAGAGCTGGTGGCAGGCTGCAGCTTGTTGGCTCTCTGACGCAGCCCTGTGCTGCATGCATGGATAAGGACATTTAATCACCTTCTCCTAGGTGCACCTGCATGGCTGCTGTGTCCCTGAGGCACGGCTTTGGAGGGGAATGCTGAGGTGATGGTAGCAGGGAGGATGAGGGTGGTGTGGGGCTGGGCTGTGGTTGCTGCTCACAGCTGGGGCTCTGCTCTGATGCTCTCCTCCTCAATAGGCCAAAGCGTACCATCTTGTGTGACTCCCCCAACACAGACGAAGGTGGCAAAGAGGCTGAAGATGAGGAGTATGAACCGCAGTGGCAGGAAGACTATGATGATGATGATGACCTTGATGAAGACAACTTTCTCTTCGATGATGACTCAGATAACCTTGATTGTGACTCCTACTTTGATGATGATGATGCCTACGACTAGAAGTGGGCTGTCACCCAGCCTGCCAGCCTGGACCTCTGCCTCTACTCGGTCTCGACCCATTTATGTTAGTGTCTTTCCTCAAAGACAGTGAGGAGCTCTCAGGCAGAACAAAGTAACTTTTTCTCTGGGGGCTACTTGCTCAGTGACCCCTCTTTAACACACAGAAACATTGCTCTGGACAGATGGGGGCTATGTTACTGTGGCCACCTCTCTCAGAAAGACATCTCCTCACCTTTCTCCCTTGTCTCCATTTCTGCCCATAGCTATCTAATTGAGTTAGAAAGTCACAGTCCAATGTGAGGACTGCTTGCCACCTATTAAAGGCCTGTTCAGTGTCCTTGGGCGTGCTCTCCCCCCAAGGACTGGGCACAGGTGAGTGTGGCACGTGTCCTAGCATGGCACTGTCTAATCCAGCCAGTGTCTAGAAATACTGTAAAGCGATGTGTTTACACTCAAGTCAAAGCCTCCCATCTGGCACTGGTGGGATTCCCTCCACAGCCGCAGATGGATGTGGTTCAGTGCATTCCTCTAGTTGGGGACAGCTTTTTTGCTGTTTGTTGGAGTTGTTGTCTTCTCTGCTATGAAGCAGGATGGGCTGCTATGAGTGGCACAAGTTTGCAGGACTGTTTTTAAGTGTATAAATGTATGCACGCGCACACACACTATATGATATATATATAGAGATATATATATATATGTGCAGAGGTTGTTCAGATAATACTTTATCTTTGCAAAAAATAAAACCCTGAGAAGTAAGGGCTGAAAAAAGTTCTGTTTAAAAAAGAAACAGTTTTCTTCTAGCACAAGCCTCCTTGTTGTCTCTGGGGAATATGGGTGTGAAGGGGGAGCAGGACATTCTCAAGTGAGGAGGATGTGACCTGGATGTGCTCATCCTAGGAGTTAGCTGTGAAATTGGCGTGGGTTTGGGATTCTCCCCCAGGCCATGCAGTCTGCCCTGCAATGTGGTTTTTCCTTCCTGGGCAGTTCAGGGAACAGTAAGAGCGACGGGGAGGGATGGGAAGGAGGGCAGGGGACTGGACGGCACAGAGAGATGGGGCTGGTGTTTCTGGGAGCAGGGGCAAGACAGAATGCCTGCATGTTGATGAAGGTGGTAATATCTGGTGCCCAGCAGGTGGCAGATGTGGGCCTGCTATTGGGGCTTGAGGGGTGATGTAGAGATTTGTGGGATTGTTGTGGAGATACAGGGCTCTCCTCAGGCCTTGGGTATCATCTGGGAGGGATGTGGGGTTGTTAGGGGATGCTGGGCAGGGGATAACTGCCAGGGGCAGACCAGGGAGAGAGGACTGATTTTTCCACTCCCCCGTACCCCCTTGCTTCTGGTCCTGCATGGGGTTCAGCCAGAGTCTGTCATGGTGGAAGTCCCAGCCCCACTCCTCCTATGTGGCAAATGGGTTCCCCACCCCACAACCAGACAGTGACACCTCTCTGGACCTTCTCCTCAGGGCCACATCAGGGAGATGTGTGGTGGGGATGCCCAGACAGCCTCATCTTCCCCAGCGTGACCAGTCCTTGCAGCAACAGCCTGAATTCCCCAGGACGCTGGGGGACAGAGCAGAACATCCTAGACACCCGAGTTCCTCCTGTGGAGACTCATGCCTGGAGTTCCTCACCCACTGTCTCCTGAATGCCTGCTTAAAACCCAGAAAGTCAGAAGGATCACGAGGCCCTGCTTTCATGGACAATATTTGTACTGAAAATCAAGATTAAGCCTTGATCTTCTGCTACGCGGGAGGTTTCTGTCCTGATCACATATAAATTCCACGTTCCTTTTCCGTGCTAAGTAAGGTGGCCTGTCCACCTAGGTAAAGCAAAGCCAGTTAATTTTGTAGGCAGATAAGATTATGTAGTGTAATTACCAAGTTCCCTTTTATTCCCTACCTACTGTCCCTTCTACCTCCATTACTTCCAAAGAGCATCCGTTTCCCTAGATCATGACTACCTGTAAATGTAATTTATTTACAGTCAAATAAGTTTGCACATAACTTGCAAAGATATGTACAATATCTACAGAAGTGCTACCTGCCCACCTTCCTTCTTTTACATTCCTCCCTTCCCACCTCCTTTCCTCCTTTCCTTCCCCTTCCTTATTTCCCTCCATCCTCACTGCGCTTTCTTCCTTCCTTCTTCCTTTCTTTTTTCCTTCTATCCTTCCTTTATTCCTTCCTTCCTTTATTTCTTTCTACTTTCCTTCCTACTTCCTCCTTTCTTTATTGCCCTCTGTCTTCACTTTACGTACTTATTTATATACTTCAATTCCCTTTTTCCTGCCTTCTCAACTTTCTGCTTTCCTCCATTCCTCCTTGCCCACTTCCCTGCCTTCCTGACTTCTTTCCTTAATTACCATCTTTTCTTCTCTCACTACTTTCCTCAGTCCTTCCTTCCTTGATCCTTCTTGCCTTCCTCTCTACCTGCCTGAACTGCTCTCCTTCCTTCTCACCTTCCTGCCTGCCTTCCTCACTACCTGCCTGCTCTCCTTCCTTAATTCCTTCTCTCCTGCTTGCCTTCTTTCTTTTACTTTTCTTCCCTCCTTTCATTCCACCCATCATCCCTTCCCCATGCCTTCCTCTTCCCCTCACCTTCCTGCCTTCTTTCTTTCCTTCCCCCTTTCTCCCTTCCTTATTTCCCTGTCCTCAGTTTCCTTCCTTCCTTCCTTCCTTTTTTCATTCCTTCTTCCTTCCAGTGTTTCCCCATTATTTCCTTTCTTCCCCATGATTTCCTTTCTTCCCCATTATCCCCCCCCCCCCCCCCTTCTTTTCTTTCCCCCTTTCTTCCCCTGGTGTGGGTCTGCAGCCTTGAGGGCTCGTGTGCCCAGGTGCTGGCAGCTGGGGAGGCCCCCAGGGACCCGTGCCCATCGGCCTTTCCCCCTTTCTTCCCCTGGTGTGGGTCTGCAGCCTTGAGGGCTCGTGTGCCCAGGTGCTGGCAGCTGGGGGGGGCCCCAGGGGCCCGTGCCCATCGGGGGGGGCGCTGGCAGCATACCTACCTGTATCTGTGTGTCCCACTGACAATTCTTTATCCTGATCGGCCAACGAGAGAAACAGGATGAGGCCATTGGCGCTGCTTGGTTTTGTGCGAGCGGAGTGTTTGTCCGTGTTGGTGTGCATGGCTGGCCGTGTATTATTTCTGCTCGTGTTTTATACTCATCCGTGTGCCTACACAGAATACACGCTCAGCCTCACTACTGGTTGGACCTGGGGGCACGGAGCTGCGGCAGCCTCGTCTCTGTTGGGCTATCCGATTTGGCTTCACCTAACACACGGAGGACAGAAGCAAGGGCAGATTACTTGGGAGGTTTACAAAGACATTGCCCACACATGGAGGAGGGGACTTATGAAAGTCGAAGCTCACTTTCCACTGGTAAGATTTGCCCTCAGGCCTCCCAGGTCCCCAGGCCTCCTGGCAGAGTCTGTAGGAGTGAAGCAGTACCCACAGCAGTGGAAGACAGAATTAGGGACCACCCAAGTCCATTAGGGAAGCATAAGTTGATGGTACCAGGTGGGATGCATCCGAGAGCACTGAAAGAGCTGGCAGATGCCCTGAGGCCACTCTTCATCATCCTTAAGAGGTCATGGCAATCGGGGGATGCTCCCAGTGACTGGAAAAAGGCAGACAGTATATCCATTGTCAAGAAGGACAATCCAGGAAAGGAGAGGCCTCACCTCAGTCCTTGGGAAAAATACGGACCTGCATTTTGGCTGCACCAAATAGCCAACTCCTCTGAGGACATTATAAAACTGATAGTTCACCGAGAAGGTATTGAGAATTAATTTAGAAAGTTGTGGATTGCTCCAGGAGGAAGAGAAGAGAAAGTTCCATCAATTTGGGACCCAAAAGCAGTCATGGTGATTGCAGAAGCAGTTTGTGGTGAGACCCTAGTCTCAGAATGGAAGATTTCCACTCCAAATGTCATCTTTCTGAGACCTAGTGACTGGAGGAAGAAAGAATTTTTTACATTGGACTAGGCTGCTGTGTTAGGGCCATGGAATTGCCAGCTTTGAAAAGGACAAAATTAGTAACAACTGGAGTGAACGTTTTAGGGGCATTCCCCACAAGAAGCTCCTTAGTGCCTTACCGTTAAGACTGAACATCTACCCCACGAGGGAATTTCTAGCACGGGCTAGACAGGAAATTCAAGTTAAGATCTACCGCCATTCTCAAGCTGAGAGTGAGTTCCTCACATATTAGTGGGTGTTGTCCTGCAGATCAGGAAGCCAGGATCAAAAGACATACTCAACAGTGCGTTCTACTGGCTGAAGAAACTCAAAGGAAGGATTGGCAAAATTTTAACAAGCCACTCCTAAGCGATCACCAAAATGATCCTTCAGGGGTCCCCGCACAGAGGACTGTGTTACACATGCACCAAAGCACTCAGCATCGTGTCCAACCCCATGCTGGTGGGGCTGGGGGGTGCCTGCCCAGCAGACCGTGCTCCTTAGTCCCGGGATACTGAGAGCCTCAGGGATCGCATTCCCAAGGATACTGGCGAGGCACATAGCCACGTGCAAAGCAGAGTGCTCTGGCCCATTGTACAAGCGGGGCTCAGGGACCCTTCCACAAACACTGTGCCAGCACTGGTGTATTGGTGGGGCACTTAGGCTATCGAAAATGCCACCTCCCCTGGCAAGGAAGTTAGGGTTAGGAATAAGTTTACAGTTCGGGTTAGGAATTAGGGTCATTAGGTTTAGGATTAGTGTTAGGGTTAGGTTGCAATTAGGGTTAGGGTTAAGTTTTAGGGTTAGTGCTGTGGTTAGGGTGCTATTAGCGTTAGGGCTTGGGTTAGGGTTTAGGGTTAGGGGGTTTAGGGTTAGGGTTATAGCCATTAGGATGTGTTAGGGATTAGAGTGAGATTAAGTGGTAAAGCTTAGTGTTATGGTTTGGGATAGGGATAGGGATAGGGTTATTCATCACCCTCACCCAGATACTAATCCCAGCTAGAGCCCAGGTCCAAACCCAACACCTGTCAGCTGGGCCTCACACTGAAAGCAGCCAGGACCAATAGCTTTTGTAAACCCTCACCTTCCCTTTGTAGTCCCTTTGTGTATGGTTTAGTTTAAGGGTCATTAGGTTTAGGGATTAGGGTTTGAGATCGGGTTAGGGTTATGGACAGGGTTAGGGTTTGCATTATCCCTCACCCTCTTTTGGACACTAACCCTAGACAGAGCTAGGTCCAAAACAGACACTCACAACCTAGTAAGACTAATATTAAGGTTATATTTAGTATAGGGGTTTTTTGTTCATGAGGTTATCCTTGACAGTTTTAGAACTTTGGTTGTGTTGAGGGCGAGGACTATTGTGGCAGTTATTAGGAAGTACAAGTAGAGAGTTAGTGGAAGTTGTTTGGGGCTGTAGATAATAATTATGGATATTCAGCCTAAGTGGGAGATGGATAAGAAGGCAAAGATTTTTCAAATTTGTGTTTGGTTTAGTCCTATTCAGCGTCCTAGGGCTGCTGAAGCAACGGCTATGGTGGTTAATAGTGTTGGATTGAGTGAGTTAGGAAGAGAATAGTGATTGTGGAGGGGGGTAATTTAATTATTGTTGATAGTAATAGAGCAGTGATTAGGGATGAGCCTTGGAGTACTTCTGGGAATCAGAAATGGAATGGGACTAGTACTAGTTTGATTGCAATTGCTATTGTCAGTAGGAGGCAGGATGCTGTGTGGCTTAGTTGGGTAAAGTCTCATCGGCCTGTGGCTCAAGCATTGGTTATCCTTGAAAAGAGGACTAATGCCGAGGCAGCTGCTTGTAGTAGGAAGTATTTGATTGCGGCTTCAATGGCTTGTGGGTGGTGGGATTTGGAGGTGAGGGGAATGATAGTGAGGGTGTTAATTTCTAGTCCTGTTCAGGCTGTGATTCAGCGGTTGCTTGAAATTGTAATGGTTGTTCCTAGGAGTAAGCTTAGGGAGGGGGTAAACCATCATTTTCAGGGAATGGGACTGATAGCTTTTTAGCTGACCGTACTAGAAAATAATATAGAGAAAGCATGGAGAGTTTTAAGCTGTTCTGTCTAAGGGGTTAAACCATCATTTTCAGGGAATGGGACTGATAGCTTTTTAGCTGACCGTACTAGAAAATAATATAGAGAAAGCATGGAGAGTTTTAAGCTGTTCTGTCTAGGTTCCATTTCTACTTTTCTAAATCTTTCTTAGGAAGTGAGAGGGCTGGTATAGCTCTGTGTTCACCTTACCATAGTGATCCTTTATGTTCAGGCGCGTTTCCTTAAGTAATGAGGCAGGCCTGCATAGCAGATTGGTACGCTGGTGTGCCAAAGGCATAGTGCTGATGTCAGTGGCAGGAGGTTTTTTCAGAGGAGGTGTATGAGTTGGCTGTAGAGCAATCGTGGCCAGGAAGCGCATATTCCTAAGAAGCCTGAGGAAAGGAGCAGGACTTTTGTAGCCAAGGCCACTGGAAATAGTTCAGGTTGGGAGGAGGTTTAGTGAACTTGGGTTTAGGAATAGGATAGTAGCTAGTGTACTAATCAGTATGATATTTGCATATCAAGCTGAGAAGAACAGGGTGACTGGTCCTGCAGCACACTCTGTATTGAAGCCTGATAGTAGCTCGGATTCACCTTCCAAATAGGCTCCTTAATGAATAATTTTTTACTCTCTTTGCTACTGGCTGTAATAATCCAAAGGGACCTACAATGTTCAGGCCTTTTCAGACTTGTATATAACTTAGGATTTTTCATTCTAGTAATGTTAAGAAGGCTACAGCAATTAGAATTGGTCATGAGTAGGGGGGGGGGGGGGAAGAGGGGAACTAGGGAGAAGATTTGAGCCGCTGGGTAAAGGGCTTAAGCCTTTTGCATTTGCTGAGCTTGGCCATGCTAGCAGTCCTTTTCTAGGACAAGGGATGGTATGGGTGCTCTCTTGGTAGTTTAGTTGAGCTCATTACTTAGAGGGAGGCATGCTTGTACTATTGGCCTTGCTTTTTCAGTTCCTTTTGTACTAGGGAAAGTTCATCATAGATAGAAACTGACCTGGATTGCTCCAGTCTGAACTCAGCTCACGTAAGACTGGTAACCATTGAACAAACGAACCCTTAATAGCAGCTGCATCTTTAGGTCGTAAACTTCCTTGTCTATATGGACTCTTGGAGGAGATTGCGCTGTTATCCCTGGGTAGCTTGGTCCATTGGTCGACCACAGTGGGTCTGGTCACTATTAGTACTTTGAGGGATTGCTCTTGGTTAAGAGGTGTGGTCTCATTTTTGCAGGATTTGTTTTTCTACAAGGTCGCCTCAACCAAAAAATGCAGGCCAACATTTTGGGGTGGAGGGGGTAGTGAACCTGGTGGGCTTGAGCTTGTGTGTAGTGACTGCTGACTTTTAGGTTCCACAGGGTCTTCTCATCTTTATATATTCCTGCTTTTTCATGGGAAGATCAAGTTCACTGGTTATCTGTAAGAGACAGTTAGGGTTAGGACAAGCATCACCTTCAATACTTGGTCAGCTGAAGGCTATGTTTTTGGTAAACAGTCGGGCCTTGAGTTTGCCTAATTCCTTTTACAGATTTTAGTCTTTCTAATAGACACTCCTGAGTTGGGTTAACAGGGTGGGTTTAATATCGAATCCTGTTAAAATTGAGATATTATTTGTAATCTGTTAATAATGTGATGATGTAAGCTTGTGCTTGAGAGGGGGAGGCCCCTAGTTACTCATTTTAGTATTAATTCTCCTATTATTATAGGTTGGCCTGTTGGTGATAAGGGAGTCTTATTGTTTCTGGACTTCTGGTGTGGAGCTTTGAAGCACTCTTTGTGGGTGGCTGCTTAAAGGCCTACAGTGTGGGGACTGAGAGTTGAGTAGTTATCTGCTAGGGGAGATTGTGTTCTTTTCTGAAGGAGCTGCATCCCCTTTAAATTGCTCGTGATTTACTACACAGGGCCTAGATTGAATGTCTGTGGAGGAAAATTGAGAGAGGACTTGGCCTCATTGCACAGGCAACCAGCTATCACCCAGCGTGATTGGCTTTTCACCTCTACTAACAAGTCATCCCATTCTTTTGCAACAGAGACGGGTTCACTCAGTGATAGCTGCTTGTAAGTAGCTCACTTGGGTTTTCAGACGGCAAGCTTAAATTCATTTCGTTGTTCTTGCTAAATCATGATGCAAGAGGTACAAGGGTTTATCTTTGCTATTTATTGCTTGCGTTTTCATTACTATTTCATCGTTGCCTTACAATACAAATCTCTTGCACCAAGCACCTTTTCTATTGCCTATACTAAGTGGAAAGAATGTTTTAGTTTGGTGATCATTTCTAGTTGTGGTTTGGCTGGGCTAGAGTTGGGCTTCAAGAGGATCTGGTGGGTAGCAGACATCTTTCAGGTGTAAGCTGAAGGCTTTCAGGTTATAGCTATGTCTTGATATGCTAAGTACACCTTTCAGTACACTTATGTTGTTGCAACTTACTTCATCTTCAGCTGACAGGCACGTTAGCTATAGGGGTTTACGGCTTGTGAGGAGCATGGTGGGCTGTATGTACGTGTGCCAGGGCCAATTTAAGGGGGCTCTATTGTCCTGCTTTACTGCTAATCTGTCTTATAGGGATGATTTCACGTCTCTTTCAGTAGGTTTTCTGTTTTAGAAAATGTAGCCCATTTCTTCTGTCTCATAAGCTGTACCTTGACCTGCCTTCTTAGTGGGGTTGAGGCTATTATTTTTACTGTTATGCTCTAAGGGGAGGTGAGCTGGAGACAGAGGTATGTAGTCTGTCCTGGCGAGGGACGGCTGGGTGGATTGTTAGCAATTCT